AGCTGCAGCCAGCTGCAGCCCCTTTGAGCCTTTTCATATCACCTCTCCACCTCTCCTTCAAAACAAACAGACTTGCAGAGCTTCTGAAGCCATTTCCAGTACAAACCCTGACCCTCCCCTCATCCTTGACCAACGGTCTTCTGATGTTCCCAGTTCTTAGCCTTATCAGGATGACTTTTCCTACCCCTCTTTCTCATCACCTCTGGGCCAGCTATGCCTGCATCCCCTCCTCCCAGCCCTCCATCTGAGGACAGGGCGATCTAGCCTGTGTGTTCATTATTCTAAACTGTACTCCACAGAGGAAGGAGGAAGTTGGTTACCCTGGTCTTATGTCTCCTGGGCATGGAGGCTCTTCCTTGTTCCCAGAATCAAAGTCTGGATTAATGGGGGAGAAGATGTGTGTCAGTCTGCAGCTTTTGCCCAGCCCTCTGCTGGGCTTCTGGAAGTAAGCGGGACAGACTTCCCTCATGAGGCATCCAGTTCAGTGCAGTGAATAAATAGTTCAGACAGTGCTGGGGAAGGTAGGGCAGGAGAGGGGGTTGCTTTGGTGTCCTAGAGAAGCGGGGGAACAGAACTGGACCCTGCAGGACTGGGAGGCTCTGAGGCGAGGAAACAGAATTCTAGGAAGAGGAACTCCCATGTGCAAAGACAGGAGGGATGGATTGAGTTCATTCAGTTATTTACTGACAGCCACTGTGTGCTGTGCTCAGCCTAAGGAGATAGATCTGCGAGGACCTTGCCCTTTAGACCCTCCCAGTCTAGTGACAAGAGATAAGATTCAGATCAGCCTCCATGTGATGCAAGTTAGAACATACCTGTGAGAGAAACTGGGACCAGACCTGGGATGGGATAAGTCATTTGGATTTGGGTGATTTACAAAAACTTTCCTGGAGGAAGTGGCAAGAGTGCCTGGCTCTGGAGGACCAAGGTTAGGGGTACACACAGGAGTAAGGATGGGTTGGAGGATGGAAATGGGGAAGAAATGCTGGATTCCCATAGGGACAGGAAATATTGCTGCTTGATATGTTTTGGGGAAGAGTATGTGGAGGCTGCATGTAGAGGATCAGGGTGGTGTGGCCAGAGCTCAGAAACAGAATGCCCACAGACAGATTGTAGTTCGAATGAGTTTCAGGTAGGGCTGTAGAAGGGGAGCCCCGTGCCAGGGAGGCAGGCTAGAAGGCTGCAGTAAGTTCCCATTACCTCCACGCTCCCCCATTTCTTACAGCCCATTCTTCCCCTCCCCCACTCCCAGTTGGGACACTTCCCCTGCTTTAACGGCCACCAAGATCTGGCAATCAGGCAATCTGCTGCTTCCTTTCCCTCCCCCATTCTGGGCCTGCCTGGGCCACACCCCAAGACCAGGTCCCACAGGGTGCAAGCTGGGCTCCAGAAACCACACTCAGACAACATTAGCCCCGCATGAGTTGTGCTCCTTGTGGGAGCGACGTCAAGCTGGTAGTGTCCCTTATGTGGCACAGGTTAGACCTCACCTTCTAGCATGTGCCCTCCTTAAATGAGCTGTGGGAACTTAATTGACCCAGCTCAGGCCATAGGATTTCAGAGAAAAGAGTTGTCCTGGGAGAGAGGGTAAAAGTCTGAGCTAGACCTGAGTGGGGAGAATTGGGCTGATGCCACCACTCAGACACCTGCATACTCAGTGCTTTCTGCCTCTTGGGATGAAAGGCATTGCTTTTGTAACCTCTTGTGTGCACAGCACTTCCCAGTTTACAAAGTGCACTCATTCCCATGATCAGGGATCCTCACTGCTGCCCTTTGAGGCAGGGAGGGCAAGTGTTATCATTCCTTTTGTACAGATGAAGAAACTGAGGCTCCATGGAGGGAAGTGACTTACTTGCTTATGGTGTCTAAGACAGCTGGTCAGGGGGGACTTGGAGGCTGTGTGACACCTTGAGGAAAACATGGGATTTTGGATCACAAAACTGGGATTTATGTCCTGACTTCCAAGCTAACGAGCTCTGTGATGTTGGGTTACTTTAACTGCCCTGAGCTTGTTTGCTAATCAGTAAATTAGGAATATTACCAGTAGGTAGTCATCAGGATCAAGTAACAACATCACGTGACCTAGGAAAGGTTGTACTTCGGGAGGATTTTTGACCAAGGGGCAGAGTCAGCAGGTGAGCCCCAGAGGTCAGATTCAGGTATCTCGTGCGCCTGGCTCTAGCTACACTGCTTCTGCTTTGCCCTGTTTCTGGACACTACCTCACTCATGATCCTTTTCCGGTGTCAGTCCCTGTTCTCTTGCCAGCCCGGAAGCTACCCCGTCCCTCCCAGCTTCTTTGAGGGCTGATTTACTGATTGCTGGTTGATAACCCCTCCCTAGAGAGCTGCCTGGAGCCTGCTATACTTCCATTCTCTTGGGCCTGGTGACTGCCGGCCAGAGAGTTCCCTCCTCGCCTTCCTGCCAGGGCCAGCCCAGTGTTGGGCTTGCAGGGGAAAGAGTTCCCAGTCACACTCCCATACCCACTCCCCTGCTCTGTGTGGAACTGAAGATTTACAAGCCCAGGAGTCCTCTCAGAATGCCAGTGTCTCCCCGATAATCCTGTGGACACAAGCAATGGCTCTTTTTTTTTTTTTAAGATTTTATTTATTTATTCATGAGAGACAGAGGAGGAGAGAGAGAGAGAGAGAAGCAGAGGGAGAAGCAGGCTCCCAAGGAGCAGGGAGCCCGATGCGGGACTCGATCCCAGGACCCTGGGATCATGACCTGAGCCGAAGGCAGACGCTTAACCATCTGAGCCACCCAGGCGCCCAAGCAATGGCTCTTTTCCCCCACCCCCAAAAAACTGGTTGCTCCTTTCCCAGGGAAGGAGTCACAGAATCCTGAGAATGAATGTGCTCCAACTTGCCCCAGTGTGCCCAGGCCTTATGCATGTCCTGACTCAGCCCTCCTACCCCCACCTGGGGGCCTTTGCTGCCCCCATCATCCTATCCCCTGCTCCCAGGGCTCTTGATGTCTCATCTACCTAGTACCCTTGTCACAGGCATTTTTCTCCCCATTTCATGGATTGGGAAACTGAGGCCCAGAGAGGGTAAGTGCCTCATGCTTGGTTGCCGTGAATCAGCAGCAGAGCAGAGCTGGGGCTAAGACTTAGGTTAGGTCTCTTGACTTACAGTCTGAGGTTCCCTCCACTGCCCTAGGGGACCCTTATTTCCTTCCCGGACCTGTTCCCAACGTTCTCTATCTTCTTTCCTGAGATTGAACATATACTTATTCATGCAAATAAGATGGAAATATTTTTAATGCCCAGAGAGGCAACCTTAAGAGTGAAACCATTTCCCTCCCAGCTGGTCCCAGGGGAAGTGGGGACCTGGGAGGGAGCTGGGGCCATCCCTGGGTCCTGTGCAGATCCCATACCCCCAGGATTCTGTCTCTGTTTCCAATGGGGGATTCCTTCCCCCTCCCTCCATTTGATTTTTGAGGCTTCCGAACCAATGATTGAGAGGTCCAACTGGGGGAGGGTAATGGGGTTCTCAGATGAGGGTATAGTTTGTATAAAGTGAAATGGGGAAAATGGGCCAGCAGTGATGGTGCTTGGGTGGAACAAGGGATGCTTAGAGATCCCATGTGTCTAAAACAGGGCTGTCTCCTCCCAGGGAGTAGGGACCTGGTTGTGGGAGACAGTCAGGGAAAGGAAGTCACATACTGGCCAGAAAAAGTCCCCCCCCCCCCCTTGGCTGAGAGGAAGTAGCCAAGGAGAGGAGGAATCTTGCCACAGCAGTATAAATAATCACAGGGTTTCCGGAAGCTCTGCTCTGTTCCAGAACTCAGAAGAGCAGTTCCTCACCCCAAAGCCCTGTGCACTGCAGAGGGGATCAGGGTGATGGCTGGAGCTGGGACTTCTCTTATACTTACCCCACTAATAATTACAGCAGCCTGTTTATTTGGCACTTCCTGTGGCCACACCTCATGCCAAACACTTTCTTCATGTTCGCTCATTTCATACTCTTGGCATTTCTAACACAATAGGCAAGATTATTCCCATTTTACAGATGAGAAACTTGAGACTCAGGAAACTTAAATATGTTGCCCAAGATCAAACATAACTGGTTGGTGGAACTAGGTTTAGAATACCTGGCCAGTCTGACTGCAGCATGGATTCTCAGTGATGGCGCTTTAATGGCACTATGTTCTCTATCCAAGAGTCTGAAAGCTTCCAAAATTTTTCAGAGGCACATGCCGTGATCTCAGGAAAAGGATGGAACATGAAGGGGCAAATCAAATGTTTGTTTTCCTCTTCCGCCCATCCCTCTTGGCTGGGCTTGGAGGATCTACCCTACCCCACCAAGGGCTTTGAGAGAAGATGCTGATGTCTGGGAGCCATAGCCTTTGCCTCTTTCATCATTATATACCAGACTCCAGACCAAATCCCAGCCCTGGCTCAATCTACAGTATTCTCCTGCACTGAGTTGCGAGAGAAGGTTTACTGTGCTTACAGGAGTTATGGGGTCAGCTCTCCCACCTTCTCCCCATCCCTCAAGCACCCTGGATTGAGATAGGGCAGCTGTCTAGAGAATTTTGCTCCTTACTTAGCAGGTTTCTCTTTGTGCCTTTCCGTTTGTACTTACTAGCCAAGAGGTCAGGTTTGGAGTTAAAACATTAGTGCACTGGGCAGGGTGGGCCCTGAGTTGGTAGAAGCCCTACCATGGCTACATCTCAGAGCGACCTGGGACAGCTGCTGTGTGCTAGAACCCCTCTCCAGTCTACTCAGTGGGAGGGGTCCCTATCTGGTAGAGGATCTGGTAGATCCCTACTTACGTACCTCACTTTTTGTGTCTATACTGCCTGGGGGGGGGGAAAAGTAGCTAATACTTATCAAATACTTATTATAACCCAAGGTACTGTTCTAAATGCCTTGGATGTGTTAATTTACATAATCCTTAAAACAGCCCAGTAAGGTAGGGAGCATTTTACCCTCATTATTACAGATAAGAGTACTGAGGCATACAGAGGTTAAGTAATTTGTCCAGGGTCACCCGGGTAGGAAATAGAAGAACCAGGATTTGACCTTATTCAGTCTGGTACCAGCACTTATTTGCCTCACATAACACATTACACGTTATACTGCCATCCTCCCTACACCTGAGCATCTTGGCTTGGTCTCAGGGCCTCTCTCTCATTGTGTTTCTCGCTCTCTCGGAGATCTGTCTTCATGGGATTGCAGGATGGTGTCAGGTTAAGAGAACAGGAGCTGGTTTCCCCCTGTGTGTTCCCATTCTTTCTCCCCAGCCGGTAGAGGCCTCCCTAACCATGCGTGTCCCTTCAATCTGTCCACAGGTCATTGCATCCGGAGGGGCCCAGAAGGGGAAGGAGGCATTTGCCTCCACTGTCGCAGCTGCACCCACGATGCAGAGCATCAAGTGTGTGGTAGTGGGCGATGGGGCTGTGGGCAAGACGTGCCTGCTCATCTGCTACACAACCAACGCCTTCCCCAAGGAGTACATCCCCACAGTGTTCGACAATTACAGCGCCCAGAGCGCAGTGGATGGGCGCACCGTGAACCTGAACCTGTGGGACACAGCGGGCCAGGAGGAGTACGACCGACTGCGCACACTCTCCTACCCTCAGACCAACGTCTTTGTCATCTGCTTCTCCATTGCCAGTCCGCCCTCCTACGAGAATGTGCGGCACAAGTGGCATCCGGAGGTGTGCCACCACTGCCCCGACGTGCCCATCCTCCTGGTGGGCACCAAGAAGGACCTGAGAGCCCAGCCTGACACCCTACGGCGCCTTAAGGAGCAGGGCCAGGCACCCATCACACCGCAGCAGGGCCAGGCCCTGGCCAAGCAGATCCATGCTGTGCGCTACCTCGAGTGCTCGGCCCTGCAGCAGGACGGCGTCAAGGAAGTGTTCGCTGAGGCTGTCCGGGCTGTGCTCAACCCCACGCCCATCAAGCGTGGGCGGTCCTGTGTCCTCTTGTGACCCTGGCACTCGGCTTGGAGGCTGCCCCTGCCCCCCACCAGTTGTGCCTTGGCGCCTTGTCTGCCCCCAGCTGTGCCTTAAGGACTAATTCTGGCACCCCTTGCCAGGGGGCTCCCTGAATGCCCTTTTCTCTGAATGCCTAGTTCTCCTTAATGAGGCCCACAGGGAAAGGGGCTTCGGGCCCTGCCCCGCTCTGCTTGGGAACACCAGGTATTCCTGAGAGCTCACCCAGGCCAAGGTTGGACCCCTCCCCAAGAAGCCAACCCAAGTGCCCCTCCCCCATCACCCCTACTGACCAGTTGATCCAGCTTCCCACACAGATGTTGCTGCCTATTGTGGTGCCTTCTCTCAGGTTAGGAGCTCTCAGCTGTCCCTAACCTCTCCCTTGCTGCTCTTTGAATTGCTTCCCCCTCAAGATGCTCTCTCCCTTCCCCAAAGAAGGAGCCACAGAATCCTGAGAAGATGAATGTGCCCTAACCTACCCCCATGTGCCCAGGCCTTATGCATCTGCTGACTGATTCAGCCCCCCTTCCCCAGGCTCCTGGGGGCCTTTCCTACCCCCATCAGTATCAATAAAACCTCCTGTCTCCAGTGGCCCTGGCTCCTCCCTGTGTGCTAGGCATTGGGGGTTGGGCAGGGGATGGGCATGGGCTAGGGCTCCCCAGAGACTGGGAGCCTTTTGTTTCCCATAAAAGGGGACAGGAGACAATAGGCTTCATTGTGGTCCCCCTACCCCCCAATTTCCCTAACAAAGCTCTGGGCTCCCTTGGAGGGGCCAGTCTTGCACTAGGGCCCAGCCACTGATTCTGTAGTGGACTGGGATGCAAACCCTAAGGAAAAAACTCATCTAAGGCTCAGAAAGGGAGAAGCTGAGAGCCAACAGCCTACAGGCAGGTGCTCACAGTCACACATTTGAGAGCTGTTCCCTTACACCCCCAAGGGGACAGGTCTTTACCAGATAGAGCTGGGGCTGGAAAAGCCTGTGCCTCAACCCAAGATAACCCAGTTATCCCAGCTACCAAGCCTAGAGTCATTACAGGGATAGCTCAGTCACTCCTACTCACCAAAAGTGGGTCTTAGACCAGCCTTAGGAGACTCCAGGCCTAAGGTGGGAAGCTGCTTGGAACCGTACCCTGCCATGGACTTATTCCCTCCAACCTGGAGCCTGTCCCTCATCTCAGTTCCATGAAACAAAAACAAGCAAGCCTAGCCCAGGCTGTTGGGGGGAAAAAAAACAAAAAAAAAATTTTTTTATTTGAAATAAAATGTACAACCCAAAGAGATCAGGGCATGGGGCAGTAGGGAGATAGGGGGACACCAGAGAGCCCATTCTGGGGCAGGAATCTGCCCCTGACTCCACCCCACACCTTTGCCACGGAAGAAGAGTCTGTAAGCCAGAGATTGCAGAAGGGAAGGAAAATAGGTGCCGTACCAGTGCTTTTTCTGGAGCACGTCAGCCTTCAGGTACAGAACACCACCTCCACAAGGTGGTGTCAGAACCACTGGCAGAGCCTGTGCAAATCCTACAGCCCTCCTACCCCCCCATCACCCACCCAGACACACCGCTAGGGAAGCGTACACACTAAATTGGAGGTGAAGTCAGGGCTAGAACACCTGAGCAAACTTAGCAGGGGATGGTGGCCCTAGGCCTGGGTGTGCGCAGGAGATGATTAGACACATTAGTCAAGCAAATGACCTGACCCGGTGGAGAGAAATGGCTGTGGTTTTCAGGTAGCAGCCACTGTTCAGTGGTCCCTGACCTCAGCAAGAGGCAGCTGTGTAAAGGCCAAGAACCGGTGGTGGTTGTGAACCTCAGGACCTTTTTTAGCACCAGATGGTGGAGCTCTACTTCTAGCTCAGCCTCCTGGGGCCTCTCAGATAAGGGTGATGCTGCTTGAAGGTTCCTCGGCCTTCAGGTGGGGTGAGGGAAAGGAGGAGCCCGCAGGGCTGCCTGAAGCCCTGTCCTGTGCCCTTCCTCCTTTCTTCCGCCCTGCCCCACCTCCCCGCCCTCCCCCGCCACTTCAGCAGGGCCCACAGAGGACACGGTGTGGGGAAGGCCAGAGTGCAGGGTCTTGTTTCTAGTTTCTGGGCAGTGGACCGCCTCCTTCCTAGCAGAAGAGAATGGGTTTAGAATCGCTTTTCCTCAGGCTGGGAGGTAATGAGCAGCTCCTTGTTCCCGAAGTCCCACCAGGCCGTCATGTGGAATGCCATGTTGGTTAGGACAACAGTGTACTCCAGGATGGCAAAAATGGTGTACACTGTCGTGAGAACACAAGAACAGAGCATGATGAGCCTTCTGCCCCCACCCCACCCCCGGGGCCTCTTGCTAAATCACCACCACCACATCTCTACACAGGGGACACAGTGGCAGCAAGCCCCCAAGACCACTGCCATAGCGCACACTACAGAAAACATGACATCTGTCCCATAGCCACTGTGACCACCTATGGATCCCAGCCTGGCCTCACCTCCAGCCTCACAATACATGTTGTGCCGGAAGTAGACAGCCAGCGCCGTGAAGAAGGAGATGAAGTTGATGATGAAAAGCCGCTGTTTCCAGTTGTAGGACTTGCGGTCCTAGGGGATGGGCTATCTGATCACTCTGTAGCCTGTTGGATGTGTGTGGACAGCCTCCCCTCTTGGCCCCAGTTCCTAAGGGCTGTGTCTCTTACCTCCCTTGGTTATGGAAGGGGGCACAGGCAAGGGCAGCAGGAATGATGGGCATGTTCATATCCCTGCATTTGGGAGGATAATGAGGCCAAGGAGCAGTGGTGTCCCTGCCCCTCCCACTTCAGCCAGATGGAATATGAAAGTTACCTGGAGTCACCCACCAACCTGATGCCTCCACATACTGTGGGGAGAAGAAAGGCGTGCATGCGTGCGTGCGTGCGTGCGTGTGTGTGTGTGTGTGTGTGTGTTGGGGAAGGGGCACTGGAGGTAATACAGACCACAGACCCCTGACACTGTTCCTAACCCACAGCAGCCTGGTGCTTTCCCTCGTCCTACCCCCACTCGGCGCCTCCATCTCTTCTATTTTCCAATCTCCCATACTGTCCGAACACAGTCCTAGATTCTGACGCATCGATCACCCTCCACTTGTCCCCAGGTCCCAGCCCCAGCCCGGATTCCCATTAGAACTCCGGTTCCCACCTCACCATTACCCGAATCCTGAGGACAGGTGTCCTTGATTTTCCTCTGGGCCGCCTGGAGCCCCACTAGGGGTAGACCGTACCTCTTGACTTACTGTGTGCTTCTTGGTCAGCCGCCAGAGAATACAGGTGAGGAGCATGTGACTGAGGGATGAGGCGATGAACACAATGAAAGCATTTTCGTGGATGGCTGGAGGGAGAGAGGAGGGTTGGGACCACGCACTGCAGGGAGCATCCGAACCCCTCCGTCTGAAGGTCCGAGGGAGGGAGGGTGCGGGGGCGACCCTCCCCAACCCTTCCCTGCTCCTCCTTCCCTCATCTGGGCACCCACTGAAGTCCTCGGAAGAGGAGACGTAGGTGAGCACTAGCAGCGCGAGGTTCTCCACAACGTTGAGGCCAAAGTTGAGGCGGCAAAGCGGGCGGTAGCCAGGACACGGGGATGCGCAGCTGAGGTAGTGGTTCCAGTAGGCGAAGGCCACCAGGAAGCGAGGCGCAGAGTGCAGGCCGATGCAGAAGCGCCACACGTAGCGCTGGGGCACCTCCCCACCGATGGCCGAGCTCACCGAAGGCAGGTAATTGGGCACCTAGAGAGTTGGGACCCATCTGGTGGCAGGCCTCCACTGGCCCCACCCACCTGGAGAGCCTTCTCTCCCCCTATCAGAATCACCCTGGCTCTCAGAAGGCTCCACTGCAGCCCCTTCCCTTCCAGGAAGTCCTCCTTCACGCACCCCCAGAGCTCTCCTGGGAGACGTCCCCTGCCAGGTCCCAGTCGCCAGGGTGCTTGTTCTCATTCCCCAGGCAGCCTGGGGTGTGTGCAGGGACTTGATGGAACCTATACGTGGCTGCGGAAGCTGGAGACAGATTCAGATGCTCTCTGAGCCCACAGAATAGAGCTGCACCCTCGATAAGGCCTTGTGGGAGGTTCCATGAGCCCAGGACCCTAGCTACAGTCTTGAGGACAGACCACCTGAGCTTCCTTGGGACAGTGCTGGACTCCTGGGCAGTCAAGACGTTCTTCTGACTCCTCCCAGCTTCCCTTATTCTTCTGGGTAGATATGCCAAGGTGCTAGAGGGCACTGTGAGATCCTGGGGGTGGGGGCTGGGTCAGAAGGATACCCCCACCCTGATCATGTGTAAGAAAGTGGGTGCTCTTGACCTGGGATAGCCTAAGAAAATGACCCTATTCTTGTTCATCTCTACCATTCATCTTTCTCAAAGCCTGGAATTCCTCCTTCCTCAAGGAACTGGAGCACTGTTCTTTAAGGTTGAGGAAGGAGGAGGAGGTCACACACACAGCTGTGAGGACTGGTGTGCTGTCTGCCCGAGAGGGTGAGAGGATGAGGGATGAGTGAACAACAGTGTAGATGCTGCCCAGAGAGCCAGGGCTAGGAGGACGGCCTCTTGGACTCCAGGACCCAGAGCAGGGCCTCTACCTTTACTGTGCGTGCAACTCACCGGGGATTGTGTGCGAATGTAGCCAGTCTGGAGTACGGGAATCTGCATCCCTAAAGGATTCCAGGACTGGAAGCTACTGGTCTGTTGCACACACTTTCTGTGGGCATTTTTTAGACTTTCAACAAGAGCCGGAGCAGTGCCAAAGCCCAGTGACTAGAGCAGGGCCAGTCTCCAGAGACGCAGTTCTGGAAGATCCCTTCCTTACGCTTCATGGGGATGCTGACTGGGTCTCCATCAAGGCTGGGAAGGTAGGCAGTGATGGAGGCAGCTCACAGAGCAGGGATTGGCCTGGGGGATCACCAGCCAGGGGCGTCGAAGCCTTCACAGAAAAGGAGATAGATTTCCCCTCAGCACTATCAGAGGAAGCCATGTGCGGCGCTCTTGGAGAGAGGCCGCTGCTCTCAAGGCGACGGCTTGAGATACCATAGCTTGAGACGAGGCTTAGATGCTCACCCTGAGTGGTCAGTAAAGAGGCAGCATGGAGGGCGCCTGGGTGGCTCAGTCGTTAAGCGTCTGCCTTTGGCTCAGGTCATGATCCCAGGGTCCTGGGATCGAGTCCCACATCGGGCTCCCTGCTCTGCGGGAAGCCTGCTTCTCCCTCTCCCACTCCCCCTGCTTGTGTTCCTGCTCTCGCTATGTCTCTCTCTGTCAAATAAATAAATAAAATCTTAAAAAAAAATATAGAAAGCTCTTTCCTCTTTTAAAAAAAAAAAAAAAAGAGGCAGCAGGGAGGCTTTGGAGCCACACAAACCCGGGTCTGCATCCCATCTCTGCCTTTATTAGCTGAGTGGCCTTGAGCCGGTCACTTCACCTCTCAGAGCTTCAATTTCCTCGTTGGCAAAATAGGGATACTACCACCTACCTCGCAGGATGATTGAGAATATTAAATATAACGTATGCAGAGCGTCTGCAGCGTCTGGCACACAATGGCTACGGTGATGGCTTTCACAAGACCAACTTCCATGAAAAGCCTACAACTAGCTGGTGAGCTATGTGGTTCTTGAACATGGGAAGACTGCATATGAGCGAGAGGTGAGAATCATATCTTCGCCAGAGACTTCTGACAACTCCAAGCCTCCTAACTGTTCTGCCACTCTGAGTTAGGTCCCCTAAGTAAGGTTAGTAAGAGTGTTGCCTCCACTTCCTAGAATATTCATTCTGAAAACTCCTGCCCCAACCCCAGCTACTTTTAGGGGAGCAGAACCAGCATGAGTTTGTTTGTTTGTTTGTTTTTTCCAGCATGAGCTTTTAAAGCTTGGCTGGGAGAGCCCAGAGCCCTAACTGATGCTGGGAAACAGGTAAAGTGTAGAGATGGCAAAGAGCTGGGGGGACGCCTCAGGAAGAAGGGAGATTTAGGGCCCTGTGGCTTCTCGTGCCATCCTCGTAAGCTCCTCGCAGATTAGGGGTGGAGGTAGGATGCTTAGACCAGGCATTTTCTATTACCTCTCTCCCCCGCCCAAATGCGTGCACGCGCGCACACACACACGCACACATGCATAATCAGGTATAGATATTCACATATGTCCCCCCATCCCAAGCACACAAGTTCCCCACTCACCCCACTCACACAAGTTCCCCAGAAGGAAAGACCCTTCTCTCCTACTCTCTCTATGCCAGCAACATCAGGAGCTTATCAGAGACCAGGTACCCAGTTCACCCCAAGTCTCCCCATGAGCTCAGAGCTAAGGGTACTGAGATGGGAACATAACCCCTCTTCCCCAAGAACAGAAACCCTCCACTGGCATGGAAGATGTGGCTCAGTGGATCTGTGGCAGGGCAGTAGATCAGAAATTCACATGGTATAAAGGGTGAGGGTCCAAAAAATTTCCTACAATAGCACCTCGGATTTCACCATTAGAGATTCATTCCTTTGATAAAGTCCCCCAAAGTTATGGATGACTTTTCTGTCTACTGCCCTCATCCTTTGCCAAATGGACACAACCTCTCATCCCTATCAATTCAACCTGCTACCCTTCTCTGGACTCCATTCCTACCTCTCTCATAGTCCCTATTTTAGCTCTCGTCTCCCCAGTAGCATGAACTACTACACTAGCCTCCTCACTGATCTCCCTATTCTTGCCCCCTGCCCTTACAACTGTTCTCTACTCAGGAGCCAGAATGGTCTTCTAAAGCATAAATCTGATCATGTCCCTTTCCTGCCTCAAATCGTTCCAAAGCTCACCACTGCCCTCTGGATAAAATCAAAAGCTGTCAGCCTGGCATCCACAAAATCCTTCTTTACCCACATAGCTGCAATGCCCCCTGCTTCAGGAAGGAAGTCTTCCCCAACATCCAGGCTAGATTAAGTGCTTCCTCTGGGCTCTGTGACCCATGCTCCCCTTTATCACAGTGCCTCCCATCTCACTCGGCCTGACCATCTGTGTCTAGGACTGTCTCCTGTAGGATGAGAGGCTAAGGGTAAGTGCATGTTCGGTTCCATGCCCCTGACCCAGAACCTCTACCCCTGGGCCCTCAGAAAGGCCTGGTGGACTGCTCATGGAGGCAGGTTTCTAGCTAGCAGAGCCCTGAGCAGACACAGTTGTGGGGCCCGAGGCTGCCAGAGGGAGAAACCAAACTAGAAGATTCCAGGGCAGGGCTGCGGGGGGGTCCTCTCAGGCCAGGCCCCTAGTCTGGACTAAAGCCACCTATGACTTCTGGCTCCTGGCCACCTCTAACTCCCCAGTCCTGGCTTCCTTCCCAGTCTGGTCTTTCTTCAGCCTCCTCCTCCCTCTCATGGCCTCTCTTGCCTACTGCCCCCCCCTCCCCTCTCCCCTCCGTTCCCTGGCACTCTCTGTAACCTTCTACTCTCACTGAGTCTCTCCCCACAAATTCCCCCAACTCCGACTTGCCCCCCATCATCCCTCCATCCCTTTCCCCTCTCTCTGACCCTCCGCCTTCTCTCCTACTCTCTGATTCCACTCTTAAGTCCATCTCCCCACCTGGCCCTGACCTGGCCCTGACCCAGGTGCGGGGGAGTGTGGCACTCACCCCACAGTCAGTGGCCACCGTGTACTCAAAGTGGAACACCAGGGACCAGATGATGCAGAAGAAGAAGCCGAACATGGGGAAAGTGATGACCCACCAGATCATGGCCGTGAAGCGGAGCCGGAACACAGTCCCGTCCGGGTCCAAGGGCTGTGAGGCCGCAGAGAACATCCTGTAGGGAGTGGTGCCCAAGCAGGGCGAGGGACACGACTTGGGCCCTGGTGGGACACGTGGGCCTCGGGAAGTGAGGCCTTTTCCAGAGCTGGCTCCTCTGGGTAGAGGGGAAGAGCCAGAGTAGAAAGAACGTAAGGGGAAAAGGAAAGCGGTGCAAAAGATTAGGAGGTGCAGAGAGAGATGGGGCAGGGGCAGCCGAGTCAGGCAGGGTCAGCTCTTAGGAATGCCTCTGGCACAATGGTCCTGTAGGTCCACCTCTTGACGAGTCTGGAGAATAGAGGCTACCAGTGGCCTGAACATGGGGAGTTCTGATGGGCCACCTCATTCTCAAGACTCTCATACCCACTCAGAAGGGTCAGAGGTAGAAAGGTTGCTATTTCTGTTCCACCGAAGGGGAGAACTATGCCCGGATCAAACATTCAAACTAAGGTCTCAGCCACCTGATAGCCTAAAGCTCCCAAGTCAAGGTTTTCTTCAGGCCAAATAACCTAAATAAAGGACCCTTGGCTCAGACTCAGCCCTCCCACTGACCCTGTCTGACCACATTCCTGCTCTTCACCCAAGTTCAACTAGGAACAGTGGGGGTGCCCAGAACATTTCACTGGGGCCACAGGCTGCCAACAGGCCCACCCCCAGGCTCAGAATGATCCAAGCCTCAGGCCAGCAGTACTGTCATCTCAAGATACCAGGGTCCCTGCAGAGGCCCAGACCTCCATCTCCTTCCTCTCTGAAAAGACCATGTCACCCAATCCAAAGGTTATGGGAATCGGAGGGTCACAGGAATCTCCTCCCCTCACCTTGAGCCTGTCTGCTGGGCCAGACCCAGACCAAGGGAACTGACTTTCTTCCACTCTCTTCTCCCTCTAGGCAGAGAACTCCCTCCTCCCACCTCCCACTGCCCCAACCGCCATGACTTGCAAGCTTGGTTCCCTTTTGGGAGACAGACAGAAATGCTCTGTATTAAAAGGCCTAGGAACCGGGCGCCTGGGTGGCTCAGTTGGTTAAGCGACTGCCTTCGGCTCAGGTCATGATCCTGGAGTCC